TTATATAATATACAGTCTAGGGTTTAAGGTTTTGATTTTCAGGCAAAAGTACAAAAAGAAGGACAATTAATCAAATCTACAACAAAACCATTGGGTGGTCTAAATGAACAAAAGCCTAACGCTTTGGATTCTTTGTATGAAAAACGAAATTAACTTCCTCGTGTGTTTGGGGCAGAGGCAAAATCCTTTAGACCTTGAATTATGTTTTTACAAAACTGTGAAGACTATGCTTTACAAACCAATAACAAACAATTCTTTTTTGGCTAACAATTACAAACGAAGACTAAAAAGTAAAAAAACGGCGACAAAAAACACACAAAATTAACAAAAATGCAAAACAGCGTTTGGTCTCTGGTGTTTAAGGGTGTGGTATTGAACGGGAGAATTTAGAAAAATTAAAATAATTAGAAAATTTGTTAAAAGATTTTCCAGACAAAAGTACAAAAACTATGGACAATTAATAATCTGCAGCTTCCTGATCTCGATTTTGGCGATTGTTCCTAGAAGATGCATTCCTCTCCTCATGCTCATTTGGCACCCCTCGATCTGGGATGCTGAAAGCGAAGCGGGTTCATATATTTCGGAAATTGAAGTATATGGAACCCGCTTGGCTTTAGAATCCCAGATCGTGTTACAAACTTACAAATGCCAAAGTTCCATGACCACAAAGAGTCAAAGATCCACCTACAAGTACATTTATACGAAACAAAGAAAAAAAAGAAGAACCATTACCCCAAAATATCTCACAGGCTTGTTGATCATGATGGCCATATTGAAATACGTCTGAAAATTAGGAATCTTTTTTGTGTTGTGTATTGTCGATAAACGGGAGATATTTATACACGAACACTAGCAATGCATTAGAGAGCAAGTAACAAAAAAACCGATGCAAAAAAGCATGAAACCAAATATGCTAAATAAAAAGTGTGTGGGGTATGCCTTACCTGAAAATGAGACGCAATAAATATGGCTTACCTGAAAACGAGACGCAGTAAATAAATATAGCAATACATTTTGACAATAACAAATTCCAGTTTATATATTGAATCCCATAAAACAGGATAATTGCAACTTGGCACATATTACATAGGATAATTGCAACAAGTTCCATGACCACAAAGAGTCAAAGATCCACCTACAAGTACATTAT